GGGTGTTGGGGGCCGGTTTGTGGGTTTGGGGGGGTGTATGGGGGTATTTGGGGTGGGTATGGGGGTGTTTGTGGGGTTATTAGGGGTTCTGGACCGAAAAAATAAAATAAAATAAAAAAAATTGCGGGGTGCCGACGACCCCCGACCGGTAGGTGCCGACCAGCCGACCGGTCGGCGGGTCGGCAGACGACCAGTCAGGGGTCGCCGACGGTCGGCGTGTGCAACACTGCTGTATTGTAAAATGATTATGGGAAAATCGGGTGAGGTGGCGGATGATACGCCATCCCAATGTCGCATTGCCTACCTTGAGCAGGTCCTCGTATGACATCCAGAATCCACGGTCAGAGCCATCGAGCACAGGCCTGATTTCACGTGTTACGTGACGATACTTCCTCCAGAGTGGACTCTTCGCCGACCAGGGACCTGTCCACTGGAAATTGCTCCATGGATCACGAATGTGAACCAACCTGTGGGTTCCAACCTCCCGCAACTGCATTCCCACCAGGCAAGCAACCACGAAATCAACACAATGACAAAATGCCTGCAGAGTCCGGCAGGCACTAAATGCAACAGTGCATGGCAGGTGCATTGCAGACTGTGCATGGCGCTGTCAGCCACTTGCATCAAAGCGCAAAGACAAATCCCCTTCCTTCCTAAGGCTGCCTTACCTCAAAACTTCAGTGCCTTGCATCTGCAGGGTGGTTTGTGGATGTGTGTTTGGTACACACATGTGACTGTTTTTGGCTGTTGGTAAACAGATCATCAGTTCAAATCCTCATGAAAACAAAAATGTTTGCGACTTTGCATCCAACCTCCTTATTTAAGAAAACTGAAGTGCTGGCCAGCTTAACCATTTCATGAAAACGGGCTCATCACTTCACAGACCAGGCCAGGCAGACAGAATTCAGCAGCCAATTCACAGAAGCCATAAAATTGAAGAACACGTTCAAAAAAAGGGAACCCYCCCCCCCCCCAAAAAAAAAAAAAAACTGGGCCAAATTTCCGCCAAAAGCTAAAGAATTGACGCTGGGCCCGTTTTCCAGCAGGTGACACTCCCCACCAATAGATGGAGTCTGCCTTGGGGTACTAGCCACGATTGCTTTTACCAACACCGTCTACTTACAAAAGATGTTAAAAAAAGCAAAGAAAAAAAAAAAAAAAATTGCACTGCAAACAACCTCTGGGTGAGAGCCACTCAGAAATTTGGTCCGAAATTCTGAAAAGATTCACGTGCTGCCACAGTACAGCCCCGGTACCGTGTCCACTTTTCTTTGTACCATTGGGCTGCAGTAGAACCTTCCCGAGGGTACAGTACAGGCCAAAATAGAGATCCGATAGGATAGGACCAGTAAGAACAGTGGAAGTACAAATTGGGCCCCAGTGGAACCTTCCGGTCGGTAGGTTAGGAAGTTGCCATGTGTCCAGTCCCCCCAGTCCAGTTGCAGCTCTGTCCCAGGGAAGGCCCAAGACAGACTGAATCTCTGTTGGCTGCGGCAGGATTGCAGAGTTGGTGTGAACAAAGCCAACCACTTTTCCCAGGGGTCTCGTTAACTCAGGGCGATGTGCTCAGTCCTTATTGATCAGTCAAATGCATCCTGGGTAGACTCTCTGGGGTGAACCTCCTAATGAGCCCGTGAAAAAAGTTCGACAGAACAGTCACAGTCATGCTTCTTTTTGGAGTTTGTGGATCGTGTAATGAACCCAGTCTGGCAGATACTCATCAGTCATCTGTAGTCTCGGTATCTGCAGCATAGTCTCCAATTATCGTGCAATGATATTTGAAACAGTATCTCATTACCATTAGACGAAGAGAGTGGAGGGGGAAATATGATCAATGACCACTCAAGAATAATCCAAACAAACCCCACTCCTTCACCGGGCTTCTTCCTCCTCCACGTCATCAACCAGTATATGATAATAAGTATGATAATCCTGATCACACAGTAGTGCCACGTGGCACTCTCATCTCGTGAAGGCCATGAAGACTCAGCAGAATACAGTGACGATGTCAACCTCAGGTGAGTACACGATCCTAGTCATCCACAGATCCCCATCTTCCTCCTCCTCGCAACCAGTCACCTCATGTAGACAGCGTGGACAATGCCACGTCAGCAGTCGAGACAGGTGGCATGCACCACATCATCAATGAAGACCAGAGGCAGCGCCACATTAGCATGCCATGTAGACAAGAGGCTGCGCCACATCGGCATAGACCAGAGGCAGCGCCACATCAGCATGCAATGTAGACCAGGGGCAGCGCCACATCAGCATGCAATGTAGACCAGAGGCAGCACCACATCATCATGCCTGGCGCACAATACAATGCGCTAGCATGCTGTCGTTGTCGTCCACAGTGCCTGCGCTCAGCCAGTGTCCAGCCAGCGTCTTGCCAGCATCAACGCCAGTGTCTGGTCGAAGTCAAGCCAGCGTCCAAGCAGCATAGCAAGACTGAATCTTGACCACTCGAGGCCAGCCTTTTAAGTGTCATTTGACGAGGCTGTCTGGCCTGGGGTCCTTTCCCCACAGTCGTCCAGATTGAATCACAGCCGAGGGCCTGGATTGTGTACAGTTGCAGACTTCCCTTTGGACCTGATGCTGTCTGGGTACCTGCATACAAACAAGTGTGTGTACCTGACCGGCGGCCCAGGCTGGGTACCTTTGGACTTTGACAGTTGGTGTTACGACAGTTGACTAAAGTCAACTGTCGCACGTCCAGGCCCTGATTCCTCGTGTGGAGTTCTTTTCCCCCGTTTTGGCCTGGGCTGAGGGGGGGCAGGTAGGCCCTCAGATATTCCACGAGACATATGGCATGGGTTATTGTAATCGCGAGCATGACAACACACACACACACACACACACACACACACACACACACACACACACACACACACACACACACACACACACACATGGGCCGGTACTCACCTGTGGTCGTGACGGGGTTAGCTTAGAGCACACTCGAGTAGCGGTAGTGTCGGCTGTAAGTAATTGAGTAGCAGGTAGGCCGGTACCACTCAAGTAGCCGCAGATGTGTCAAGAACCAGAGGCTGAGCAGAAGAAGTCAAGTTAGTACTTCTAGAGGCCCAGTAGTGGTAGGCTAGGTCAAGGCCGGGACCAGTCCAAGTAGCCTGAGTCTAGGGCCTGTATGGACAATTTCAGAGTCTGCAATGACGTTTCCCGCCAAACGGGAGGAGGTACCGGTTGCTTGGAGGCCGCGCGGCCTGGAAGTCACCGCCCAAGAGGCAGGTTGGCTGCCTGTGTCTCCAGGAGGAGCAAAGAGCTCCTCATTTTGCTGCATGCAAGTTTGGCATCACGCTGCTGGAGCGCTGGTTGGAAGCAGAGCTGGTGTAGAGCAGCGCTGTGGGGAAGAGGAGCGCCCAGCTCTCCACCTTGGCTATGGCAGAGGAACTCGGGGAGGAGGAGGAGGAAGGGGGCTAGGAGAGGGGAGCGCCAGGGGTACTTATCTGGCTATGGTGGACGCCATCTTCATCACCTTGGTGGGCGCTGCATCTGGAAGGCCCCCGTTGGGGTAGAGCTGCATCAAGAAGCTTCAAGGCAGAGTCAGGCATGGCAGCCTGAGAGGAAGAGGCCATAGCAACTTTGCGTTGTCTTTTGCACGTCAAGGCAAAGCCCTTAGTAGTCTGCCATAGCCTCGGCCTAGATGAAGAAGAGAGTACCCTGAAATGAGTTGTTTGAATACGTGAGGAGGAGATAAGGAGGAGTTGGTTGGCAAAAAAGAAGGGGGAATTATCATTCGTCTTTTGCTGGTGTACATCTTGTTTTTCTTCTTCTTTCCGTCTCTCTCCTCTCAAGTTCATTCATTTCTTTTGCAATTGGACAGCATAATGTCAGCATTGCACTTTCTCGTGAATTTGCACTTCGAAATTGGCCCACCTATCCCTTCTGTTTCATCGGCACATTCGCAGCCACTCGGCCAAATTGGGATATTCTTCTTCCCTATCCATTCCCCCTCTCTCTTCCGTGCAGGATGCTTCCTAACCCTTCTTACCCATGGCATGTACTTCACTTCTGCCCTGGACGAGTGTGTATTCTAGGAACTTTTGGCAGGGCTAAATCTGAAGTAACAGAAGGGGACTGGAGGCCGACATCGACCTTACAGTGTGCTAATGGATTCTTCTCATATCGCAGTTTTTATCGTCGCAATTTTTGCTGTATTCTTTGCAGATTTTGCCTTCATTGCTTTCTTGGATACTGTGCATCTGCGATTGCTATGGAATCAGTGTAATCCTTGTTTCAGAAAAATGCTTCAGTGGAATTGGGGTCATCTACTAAGTGTGTGGCTTAGGCAGTATCTGGCACCATCAGTGCTGGAAAGGCGCCGCTCTTGAATTGTGCTAATAGCCTAGTATGCAATGTTCGCTGCTTCTACGTGCATCATCATGCTCATATTTCTCTTTCTCTTTCTTTCTTTTTCTCTCCCTTACTCTCTGCAATTCTGGTGTCTTCAAAGTTCTCAATAGCCACCTCTGCGAAAAAAAAACGACTCATGGCCATGGAAGAACCGGATGGAAAAAAAGAACTCTCGGATCTTTGATGTGTTTTCTGATGTTTGGGCTGCACGGTCTGCACCTGTACTTTGGTTCTGCCGTGAAATGCGGCTCGTTCCAATATGGGTATGAAATACTATGAATGTGTGTCATGCCTTTGTATGCAACTCGCCGCGGCTACCACTGCGAGGTTTTGTCCTACCATTAAACACACACACACACACACACACACACACACACACACACACACACACACACACACAGTTTTATGTTTGTCTGTTTTCCTCTTGTTGTCTGTCCTCCCTCTGATCTTTTATTAAGTATTTTTGCTTACCCAACTGAGCACCCTTAAGTAGTGCCAAACAGTCGGTTGTTCCACGTTTGGAGTGCCGCTTGGTTTGGCATGTCTGTGTTGCCTGTGGGTGATGACGGACGCTCGTCGGAGTGTTTCCCTGGCTCAGTGGGTGGTGGGAACCAACAGTCTGCGGGGTTCAATCGTGATGTGAGTAGGTCGTGTGCCGCTGTGCTCCGTGTCGGAGTGGATGGCCTCTTCTGCGCTCTGCCGCTGCCCTGCTGCCTGTTCCACTTGATTCGCATGTGGTTCTCTGCAGGTTGATGTGTTCGCTGTGTGGTGTGGCCATGTTGCTGGTGTTGCCTTGCGCTTTGCTACTCTGCTGCCTTGCTGCTCATCCGCTGGTCATGCCTTCCGTGTTTGGTGCTTGCGGGCCTGGTCTGCTCGCCCTGCCGTCCCTTGCAGTGTAGTTGCCTTGCTTGTGTTGCCTTGTGCTTCATGGCACGGTTGCTGTGCTGTTCATCCGTCATCCGCCGCTGTGTTGTTCCTTGCAGTCGTTTTTTGGCATTGTGCGCCGTGTTGCCTCTACTGCGCTGCCTGGTGCTCTGCAGGGTTGCTCCCCGCTGCTATGTTCCGCTTGGGGACAGTCTGCCTTCAACACGGGTCAAAGGGTTCATGACCAGAACCATCAAATACGGAGATTCCACATATTGTCGAGGGTTCAGCTTCCTGATGAGTCGGTGCAACTCCGACGAAACAATCTATCATCCTGTCTCTTATACACATCTAGATGTGTATAAGAGACAGGAGAGAGAGAGAGAGAGAGAGAGAGAGAGAGAGAGAGAGAGAGATCTTTACCTTTGGGTGTCTTCCTGGTCAATTGTGACGACAATTCTAGTTGGCTCCGGAACCTTCAGCCGGAACATTCGTGATGGCTGCTTGGTGTTCCCAGCAGCTGACCAGTCGTCTGCAATGAAGCTGCAAGGCATGCGAAGATCCTTCCAGGGCTTTGTTGAAGATGGCCTCGGTCCTGTCATTAAGTGCATCCCAAGTGCTTTATCTGAATGTGCAACCAGCACAAACCGGCGAGGCAATGCAGTCCCTCCACCATCGGGGAATTTCACCACCTCCCCATTGTCATCCGTATATGAGAATGCTTTCACCATCACCCGGTAGAGACCAGGTTGCAGTATACTTTCAACCTGGCACACAGTCTCATTACTCTGCTTTACGACTATAAATTGGTTCTGCTTGTCGATGATCCAAATCCCCACTTTCATCGGCACCGGAGCACCAAGTCTGCCATTCCAACAAAATCACAGAGGATCAACCAAATGAGCTCCAACCCTTGATTGAGTCACAATAACCTGACAGCTTACTCACAACTCAAACAAACAAAGCAATGCAAGGCTGTGAATACAGCCCCTGCTTAATCTTGAAAGAACAGCGATGTGTTTGAGCTGCTATAGTACAGAGGTCCAGAGTTCAAGCCTTCTTGTGAGTAAAATGACCTCATCATTCGTACTTTTCGGACTGTTAGTTGACCAGGGCCCACAGACACACAGTCTGTGTGTGTGTGTGTGTTAGTTAACCGGGCCCCACAGACACACAGTCTGTGTGTGTGTGTGTGTGTGGTGTGTGTGTGTGTGTGTTAGTTAACCGNTTTTTTTGTATGTGTATTTGTATGCTTTTTTTTAATATATAAAGTATTATAAACTTGATTTTATTTATATATACGAGCAAAAGGAGGCCGGGAATCCCTCCACATCTCAACCCGGAATAATGTGGCCAGCACTCAGCTTGGGCTTTAACTGGAAAACGGGTCCAGTGTCCCCTTCTTCGGAGATCTCCTCTAGCTAATCCTCCACCTAGTTATCAAAGCCAGTCCTCGTGGGATCTCAGCGAAAAGGGAGAAAGTAATGAAAGCCAACCCAAGGCTACTCATTGTTCCTGGAAACTAGTTTGGGTTTTCTCTTCTAAAACCCTAAACCCCTTTCTTCCCCCTGCCTGCTACCGGAAGTCTGGCCTCCCTGTGGGTATCCTCCTGTTGTGTGAAGGCCCCTTTTTTTTAAATCCTGAGTCTTCTAAGATTAGGTGTAATTCCGCTCTACCACCCTAAGTCCTATACAATCCGGTGAGAGCCCGCACTTCGCAGTTGGAAGGCTGCGAGGTTGTCTCCTCTGCCTGTTGCTCGAAAAACAGCCTTTCCTGTGGAGACCCTCCTGGTGTGCCAGTGCCCTTTCCAACAACTCTGGGTCCTATGTGGTCTGGTCTAAGCCCGCTCCTCTCAGCTGGGAGGCTGTTAGATCGGCGTATTCGGCTAGAGCGGGTTTATCCAACCTGAGTCCGCAGGAATGTTCCACAGTCGTTCCTTAGTCCCAAGCTTTCGTTGACATTTCACCTGCTGTCGAGGGTCAGTGTTGCATCTGAGAGTGTTTGGGAGGCTGTCGAGCCGAGGTCATCGTGAAGCTGTTGACTTGCCAGGGTTCCCCAGGCAAGTCTGAGGGTGTTGCCCATTATGGTCCCCAGCTTACCGTTGGTCAACACGTTCCTTTTGAAGTTGTCAATGATGAATCTATCATCAGCTTATTTTTTTCCCTTTTTCTTTTTTCAGGACTTCTTTTTGCTGTGGTCTTTTCCCTGCTTTTTCTGCTGGTATGAGGTGTGATGTAATACGATGGATGTTGGAATTTTGAGAAGTCCTGGGGTTTACCTTGTGAGGTGAAGATGAGATGGAGCATGTATTTGTTATGTGCTGAGGCTTCTGGAATGTGTGTTTTCACACACATCTCACACACACACACACACACACACACACACACACACACACACACACACAAGCACACACACACACACACACATTCAATGGGAAAAGCAAGCAGAGTGCACCTCACACTTTCGCTGGGAGAATTTTGTGGCGTGCATCCAGCACAACCTTGCATAGTTGTACACAAATGAGACTCAAATGCAAATAGGAGATACAGAATTAAGAACGTACCTCCAGCACGGCAAATGCGTGCCCGTTCACGAGAGGTCCTTCCCTCTTGACCTGATTCTCAGCACACTCGTCAGGACCAGCAGCAATAACGGTCAAAATGAAGCCTCGGTCACAGTAACCCTTCAATAGAGGCCAAAAGCCTGAAAGGGAAATGCACAAAGAAGACTGTTAGGAGCGTGGCACAGAATGGGCAGTAATATCTTGGAGCCCAACAACCTTTCAAAGATTGCGAAATTGTTTGTAATGGAAGCAATAAATCTGAGGCAACAAGCTCCTTCGATTCCTGGGCATTCAAGTTTCCAACGCCGGTCCCAACCACGCAATGGCACCAGCACTAATGAACAAGATGATAGCCAAACTGGGCAGCTGGTCTAGTAGACTCTCGTGTTTCCGGCAGCGCCTTTTTTAATGGTTTGTTAATATGGTCTGCACTCTATGGAATGATGCAATTTTTGGTTAAAAAGGGCTTCTGTTTTTCTTATAAATAGCATTAAAAAAACGCTGAAATTTTGGGTCTCCGTTAACCACCTCTCGTCTACCACACGTGGTTAACGGGGTACCCCCAGTTTCAGCTCTTGAGTAACAGGTCCAAAACTGAAATTAGGGTTTGAGGGTGAAATTTAAAATTTTATGTTTTTTTTTTTTTTTTGCCTGTTTTTGTCTTACTTCAAGGTTGTTGTGTACCAAATTTGGTCTCATTTGGAGCATTGGAATTTCCTCTGATAACTTGTGATAAGACCATTTCCAAAAACGCTGAAAATCCTGAAAATTCGCTGAATCCAAAATGTCATTCAAGTGCACTTTTGCCTTACTGTTTCACCCTGTTTTTATTTATTTTTTTCCGTTTTTTTTTTTAATGGTTTGTTAATATGGTCTGCACTCTATTAAATGATGCAATTTGTGGTTAAAAAGGCCTTCTGATTTTCTTATAAATAGCATTAAAAAAACGCTGAAATTTTGGGTCTCCGTTCGTTTATACCATGTGGTTAACGGGGGACCCCCAGTTTCAGCTCCTGGTCTGCACTCTATGGAATGATGCAATTTTTGGTTAAAAAGGGCTTCTGGTTTTCTTATAAATAGCATTAAAAAAACGCTGAAATTTTGGGTCTCCGTTAACCGCCTCTCCTCATCCAGGGACCCATCTAGGGTTACACTTTATCTCCAAAGTAGCGTGAAAATGCGTTATCTTGAAGGTATCACAGGAAGGGATGGGAGTCCTAGACCCGAAGACACAGAAACAACAGAAAGCCCAACTCAGGAGAAGGGCAGCCGCATTCCTCTAGTCCAGGGACCCATCTAGGGTTACACTTTATCTCCAAAGTAGAGTGAAAATGCGTTATCTTGGCTGGGAGTCCTAGACCCGAAGACAAAGATCAAAGCCCTGCAAACCAAATGGAATCTGAAAATCATAACAAACTACAGTTTCCCATGGATCAATTTGAGACTATGCAGGATAAATCAACTTGCTAAATTCAAAACCCCAGACAACATGCAAGGTCTGTGCTGGATGAAGTCCAAATCCTGGGCAAACCGAGGGAGCAGGAAGGGGAACAGAACTAAGAATTCTGGTGGAAGCTTCTCAAGACATGGAGGAAAATCTTCCCAGCCGAGGTAAGAGAACCAATGGCCAAAGAAAAAGTCCTCAGACAACCCCTCTTCTGCAACCAATGCATCCTACAACCCCAAGGGAAGCCATGGACATTAACAGCAATCGACTCAAAATGGGGCACCTGGGCAGAGAGAGGCGTGTGACAAATCGAACACCTCTGGCTGGAGTCAGAAGGAAGGTGGAAGACCGTGGGATAACTAAGACAAATCATAAAAGGCTGCCACAAGACCCACAACCTACAAGAAAACCTGAACAACATCTTACTCTTTCCCGGGCAACTGGCTATAGACCTTCTAAGAGGACCTTTCAAATGGAAACATGGGGACTGGGCAACAAGGACTACAGATACCGCACCCAACATGGAAGAGGGCCCCAGAAACAACTGACCGATCTGCAACATGTACACGATTAAAGATCCTGGGGAGACCACAAGCCTATCAGACCAACCACCAACAGAGGAAGTAGCCGTTCCAGACAACGCTGTGAGGAAAACGAAAGTAGTGGAAACTTTTCTTAGTCCAGTTTTCCTTTTTAAGAATTATGCTCAAGGGGAGGCTGGACCCGGTTTCCAGACAAGCCAATGCTGGGTAATGGCCCCAGTACACCGGGTTGAGATGTGGAGGGATTCCCGGCCTCCTTTTACACCCACCTCACAAATGTATCCTTGGCCTCTAGATAAGGAAACCATAAACTGGACTTTGGAAGTTAAGGAGGAATCAAGATTCAAGAGAGCCAAAGAGATTTCAACTACAGCACGGCCCACAGGAATATACACAGGAAGAAAAGGGAGGTTCTACCTCCATTTAGTGTATTTTCACAGGTTTTTTTGCCCAGGATAAAGCTTAGCCACCCCAGGGCTTAGCGTTTATCCAGTCCCTTCCAAGATAAGTGATAGCCCATGGTTAACTGAAGGGCAGAATGGTAGCAAGAGTCACCAAGTAGCGAACGTCAGAGAATAAGAAACCCTCTACTGCTCTAGCGATCCAAGTGATTGAGATGGCCTAGCAGCTGAGAGAAACAAGGTACGAGGGAGAACACATTCAGAATGACGGACAAAAGGCTAGCTAGAAGCAAGGAGCCCAAAAAAAAAAAAAAAAAAAAAAAGCAAGGAGCCCAAGTCAGTCACCCGTAGGATAAGTCATTGAGGCCAGATTGCACAGGGGTGAGGGCCTGCGGGAAGTGACCAATGCCGTCCACTCGGGCCTTCCAACCGCAATGGGGAGGAGTGCTGTGTGAGTATATATGATGTATTACTTCTTGACTTACCGAGGAACAGGAACCAGACTGCCGCTCCCCAGAAGTACCTAGCCCATGTATCGTAGTTCCGGAGTGTCACGAAGTTCTATAGTATGGTATGTGGAATGTCATATTCATCAATTACTTTTAAAGAAAAAATCAAACATGAAATCGAAGGAACGGAAACTTGACTGTCCGGAAATTCAGGCGAGATTTTGACCTCCAGAAAATCTACAGTACCAAGCCCAGGTTGCTGGTCAGTACTCATAACGTTCGGGTAGCGAAGCTTACACTTGTTCAATAGTTCGTCGAGGGTTTCTTCCCTGTACCTTTCCGCTTGAATTCAGAGAGTTGCCAGCTCTCTTTTAAAGGTGCAGGAGTCTACTGAGCATCGCAGCATAGGCAGGCCTTGCATCCGGTTTCAATTGTTGTCCATTTCGTGGGCAACAACCATTTCACGTCCTACGGCGTTTATAGGTCGAGCCAGCCAGATTGTCCCCTGGTGTGGGCACTCACTTTCCTATATGGAAAGTGAGCCTGCCTCTGGCGGCCCTGGGCCTGGCCTGCGCATGCCCAGTAGCTTCAAGTTGGGCCAAAGTGCCTGCGCCCAGGCCCTCTCAGACAGTTGCCTGGACCCACAGCAGTTAAGCTGCCCAACTGTGCGACGTGGCTGCTGTTGCACGCTGCATTCTCATCGGCCCACGGACCTCCCGCCACGTCGCTTGCTCACTTCTCATTGGCCGAGAGACTTCGGCCACGTCACTGCTGGAAAGAGCCCTGAGGCTCAGTCTGTCGTGCTCACACAGACGTGGCCCTGTAACCAACTGGTGCATGGACACTGTCTGCCCAGCCCACAGTTCAGAAATGACAAAAATCGGGCCTCCTTGCAAAACACAGGCCCATTTTACTTAGGGTGGGCACGAGCCCCTCACTCTGTCGGCTGCCAGGGCCAAAAAGGCCTCTGCGAGGTCTCATTCCTCGCATTTGTCTTTCTGGGATAAGAAATGGGCTAGTATGGATCCAGTCCCAGCCCACAAGCACTCCCTTCCTGCACTGTACTGTTTGCTTTCCATGGTCCGACAAGTGTAACCCGCAAGTGTTGCAGCAGTTATTTCATGGGTATTGTGGCACAGCATTTGATTCCTCAAAGCTCGAAGCATTTCACTATTCTCAGTACACACTAATCATGCTGTACATCAAAGAGAGAGGAAACGGTTGACAGGCCGTAGCGATACTCCACCTGAGTGGGAATCGTCAGATTGAACATATTAAAGGTATAATAAGGTGGCTTAGGTGGGAAGAAAATCGAAAATCAATGAACGAACCTCCTGTTGACTCGAATCGTAGGAACTTCTGGCTTGAGAACACAAACGTGACGCATGGTGCACCTGTTAAATCTTGGATGGCTTCACTGGGTGAACCTCCCGACAGGGCCTCATATGAACCATGCAGCTTCGCATACGCCTTTTCAATCAGCATCACCCAGAGTTCGTTTGCAGTCGAGTGTGCTGTCCCAAATGGCCACCACACAATAGATTCTGTGAGTCGACAGTTCAGGCATTCAACTCTGGCAGACAAAGCTGGCACAGAGACACACACACACACACACACACACACACA